GCACGAGGGTGCATGCAGGAGCGGTAGTGGTGGTAATTCTGGCTGCTTCAAGTGCGGCCGGACTGGTCATTTTAGCAGAGATTGTACAGCTACCACGACCCGGGGATCAGACCTGATATGATTTCATTACAGTCAGCGGGGCCACAAGAAGGCCCAGTGTCCGAGTCTGCTTTCAGTAGGACAGGTGATAGCACCTACCCCTGCGACTTTGAGGATCACCGACAGCCGTCAGGGCCGGGCAGGGGCGCCTGCGCCAGGGAGCAGGGCATTCTAGTTGGTTGCAGAGGAGACGCGAGCAACCCCTGATGTGGCAGGTGCGTATCCTTCTCTTTCCTATCAGCTTTTATTTGTGATTTATCTGTTATGGTACTGCATTGATGTTAGTTAATGTACCATGGATGTTAGAGTAGTAGTTCGAAGATGTTTCCCTTAAAATCAGGTTCTCAGGATGTAGTCACTGTAGCAAGTGTGAGTGAGGCTCGGGAGGTGTTCTATTAGTCTTCAAGAGTGGTTAAGATTTGGTATTGGTTAGTTTTAGAGCACTAGCGGTGGTAAGCGTTGGTTGTCGGCAGATCGACCCTTTTAGATGGGGAGAAGGATTGGGAATCCTTTCCAAGCTAGGAGCTGTAGGGATTTAGTAGAATCAAAGTGGGGGAGAATCACCCAATAGTTAGGAGCTGAGGTAAGATCGCAACTTGGATGTGTTTGCATCCTTGATGAGAAGGGAAGCAGCCTGGGTGGCTGCCTGGATAGAGCAGCGTGGAAGTCGGGAGTTTGGGAAAACTTCTCGACGTTGAGTTCGTGTGTTCACAATAGTTGATGAGTGGTTGGGAACCAGGTTGGAGATTTCCTCGGTAGGGCGCGAGTTGAGTCAGGATGTAAGACTGCGGGATAGCCGTAGCATTCGTTAACATCTAGTTGAAGGAGTGTGGGCGAGGGCCCGTATCTCCAAGTTAGCATGATAGAGATCGAGAAAGGATAGTTGTTGAGTTTCAAGATGGAGTTGGTCCTGCATAGCCCTAGATGGGTGAGAGCTGTGGGGGAGGCCACTCCGAGATATAGTTTGGGTGAGACCCGTGAGCGAGGCCCGTGTGATTATAGCAGCGCAGGTGGGACCTAGTAGAGACCTTAGGGTCAAGACATGGGATCGAGGATCCCAGGACTTAGGGAGCCAGGGTGGCAAGGTAGATAGAGCAGTTTTAGATAGCCGAAGTTTCTTCGGAAGTTGCTGGGAGCGACTTAGAGTTTGATATTGGGTTTAGTAACCGATGGGAGTCCGGTAACCCAGATAATGGCAGATTAGTTGGGACCAGGGTGGTCTCGGTTCATCCAGAAAGCGGACAGGAGATAGCAGGATCATCGGGCGAGGGTAGCAATAAGGGAATTCTTGTTTGGAGCAGTCATTTGTCCGGGAGGTGCTAAGTCACTCACAACAGTATTAAATAATCTCAGAGTAGAGGATCTGACTTTGTTGCACAGCTCTCGTATGAGTTTAACCGTTGTGGGGATGAATTTTCTACTCGAAGGATTATCTGATCCATTCGCTGGGTTGGGCGTTCAGCACTGAGGCGTGATAAGAGGAAGCATTCAGTAAGTAGCAGCGATGAGTCAGCACTGGGAGTGACTGGAAATTTGTTACAGCGAGGGGTTCTCCCACACAGAGATAGAGACGATTGTTGCTTATGGAAAGTTGTCTTGGGAAGGCCAATGGCCGCGCAAGGAAAAAAGGGTGACCCCCTTGGATGTCGAGCATGAGTACTCGGGGAGTACCGGAAGGATTGTCGATTGGGTTAGAGCGATGCACTCAGGGTTTATAGTTATGGGATGGTTCTCAAGAGGATACCATCGAGGAATAGCATTTCGCCCAGGAAGACCGGATAGAAAGCCAATAGAAGCGGTCCCTCGAGGATTGGACCGAGCAATCAGAGTATGCATCGTATAGGAACACCGTGAGAGGTTGCAGGATAGTTGGTCATAGCGGACTTCGAGGACGAAGTCCAATTTAAGTAGGGGAGAGTTGTAACACCCCATTTTGAAAAGTACTTCGATTGCGGGTTTGGAGACCCAGGGTATAAGCGATTCGGTCTTTTATGGGTCTCGGGTTTTATTCGAAAGGTTTTAAGGCTTGGCTATGTAGTCAGGAGCGTAGGGCTTCTCGCCACCTTTTCGTGGGTATAAAGTTTGTCGGAAATGGACTTAGAATGAAGGAGTTATAGCACTTTGAAGTTATTGGCAATATTGGTCCTTAATGGAGAAAGATGGCAAGAAAGGACCATGCATGCAAGGTGGCCAATGCAGGAGTACGCCTAGCGTATAAAGGAAAATGATCGCGGGTGCGGAGGGGCGTACGCCTAGCGTACGAGAAGTACGCCCAGCGTATGCTCAGAGTTCCTAAACCCTAATTTTAGGGTTGAGCCCTATATAAAGAACCTTATGTCTCCAAGGCTAGCCTTAATTTCCACCCTAAAGGAGCTACTACAAAACCCTAATCCGTATTTGAGTGTTCTTGGAGCTTAGAAGGTCACTAGAGAAGCATCTTGGTGTTGTGGATCCATTTTCCAAGCAAGAAAGGAACAAGGAAAGGTGGTGGTTCAAAGGAGAGGTTGCAGATCTGGGATTGTTGCTTCATTTCTAGCCATTTCAAGGTATAAAGATCTAAACTTGGTGATTATTTTCTTAGATCTCTTAGATTGAGTTTTTGGACCATTTTGGTCCAAAGGTTGAAGCTTTGTGGTTAAATCCGATTTCCAGGACTTGGAGTTGCTACTCTCTATTCTATATAAGTCCCTAAGGCAGAAAGTTGCCATCTTGAATGTCTTATTGGGTTCATGCATGAGTTAAGAGCATTTCTATGTGAATGGAATATCATTTTTGGAGTTTAGACTTGATTGGGGCATGCAAAGTCACCAAGTCAGTGACTTTATGGATTAATACATTGAAAAGGACTTGGATCTGTGTTTGTAGCTTTTGGAATAAAGTATTAAGCACTTAATGGGAAAGTGACTTAACAGGGGGAGTACGCTGAGCGTACATGCATGTACGCCCAGCGTACACACCATTTGGCTAGTACGCTTAGCGTACATAGGAGTACGCCCAGCGTACTCATCATATTTTGGTTTGGCTTGTTTTGGGCCTCGGTTTGGGCCATGCAAAGGATTTTGGTTCTTTGGGCCTTAGTGGGCCATCAGAAGTCAGATAATATGGGCTAAAAAGATGTTTGGGCTTTGGGTAAGGCCCATTAGAGGTTTTGGGCCCAATTTGGCAAATTGGGCCATTACTGGGCTTGGGAAGCCTACTTAGTGTTGGGCCATTTTTAGAACATGGTTTGGACCTTAGATATGGACCAAGTTGGACTAGGGGGTAAAATGGTCATTTTACCCTAAGGAGGATTATTGTTTTGGACTAAGTGATATTTTGGTATTGATAGCTCGGAGAGACGAAGGAGTAGCAGTTGAGGAATTGCCAAATAGCAGGCGGAGGAGTATCAACAGGGTTTCAGCAGTGCGAGGTGAGTCTCCTCACTGTGTGCATGGGTCTACGGCCACAATGCCGGCCCATTATGTTTGTGTATAGTAGGAAGACCCGGGGGTTAGGCATTTTTATGATATATGTTCCGGATTACGATCCGATGCCGGGCGAGGCCCGAGGTATGTTAGTATGCTAGAGGTCTTTGTGATTCTTGCATGTGCCGGTAGTATGTTTTTGGACCAGGGTCCGATGCCGGGGTAAGCCCGAGGAATGTTATATGTTTCATAGTAGAGTATACTTGTTGTCTCTGTGATACATGTATGTGCCTGGTAGGGAGGTGAGTGTGGGCGAGGTCCTGTATCTCACCACTAGCCGAATGTGGACGGGATTCCACGATTCTTCAGTAGCAGAACAGGGGCGAGGCCCAAGATAGGCGAGGCCTTAGATCAGGAGTACAGTAGAGTATGTTTCTTTACCTGCTAGTATGTTATATGTTTGTATGTGTACATCGGGCGAGGCCCAGAGACAGGCGGGGCCTGTGAGAGACTCGACTCAATTCGATTACACTCATATTGTTAACATGGCAAGCATTGTATGTTGTCTTTTTTTCTCGTCTACTACAAAAACTTCTTGTTTATTCCAATTAATCCATTTTAATTTTCTGTACTTCTCCGAACGTGAGCATTAGTGGTTATAAAATATTAAATTTTAGTTTTTGATGATTTTTTCATTTTTGTAGGTGTTATCTTTACGTGTAAAATATGATGTACTTCTGTTTAACTTTATTCGTGCATACGTTTTAAATAAACTTTAGTCTGATATACAAAATTTTCAATCTGACAATGGACCCGGATGTAATAACTAATTTCTACTTTATTTTTTTTGACTTCAATGGTATTAAACTTCATTTTTGTTCCCCTACATGTCACAACGAAATGGTAAATTGAACGCTCTATTCACACAATCCACTATATTTTATGCGCTTACATGTTTCAAACTTCTCTCCCACCTATATTTTCGGCTAAAGCAATTCTCGTTGTTGTTCACACTCTTAATCTTCTTCCCGTTTCTACCCGCTCTTTCAAAACACATTTGAAATGCCTTTTCGTGCTTTATGAGGGAATAAACTTGTTTTTGTCGGGTCTATTTGGTTACTTTGAACAAATTGAAGGGGTAACCCGATTACCCCTTTGCCACATAGACTTTAACTTTGAAAAGCCCCATCTCTTTTGACATGACCCCTCGTTTCTCCTCCAAACTCATGCCCTCCGATCACCACAAAACTCCTCGGATTCTCACCGACATCAACAAAACCTAAGCACCACAGATCTCCATCTTCATCTTCACCTGCAAATCTCACCATCGAATTCGCTCCAAACATCCTCCAAAACACATCTTGATTATGCATCACTAGAACGATAGTCAGAAACGCAGGCCCTAACTGTGTGCTAGAAACTTCACTCACTGGATAACACACATTGAACATACTATAATTGACTGGATTTTCCAAGTGGTACCTGCTTCCGCCATTGATGACATCTTTGAGATTTGCAATGGATGTTAAACTACCCTATTTGTCTGGTTTTCGGGTCAAGATGGTGGATAAATGGTTCTTGGATTTTGGGTTGTGGACTGTTGAAGAATCCATTTTGAAGTGGAATGATTTCCTTAAAGAAAACCAAACTGTTGACATGTCGTCTTCTTCTTTTTTTCCATTTGATGTGTCAGAAATTCCATTTGTTCCTCAATGTTTATCTAATCAAGATTCAGACGAATCTGATGATGTTTCTTGTGAGTTTGACAAGATCGAGTTTCCGGTAAACAATATGAAGTTAATCGCCTCCTTATCCTCCCCTCTACTTCCTGGTAAGTTGTAGTCTAAATCAATTTTGGATTTCTATTTATTCTATGAAGACCAAGGTTGACCCCATGCTTTTTGATGCGATTCTCCATAAATTTCCATAGTCGATTGACAACCAGTTCAAGCTTGTCACTCTCACTAACATCTAATGCCTCATTTTTCCATCTCTTGTGTTCTTTACAATCTCCTTCTAGTCTCTATCGGCTATCCATCCATCGTGAGCTCTTTCCTTCCTCCCACCCTCATAAACCACATATTTTTTTGTGTATGGCGACCATAATAATAAACTCTTCAACATATCATCGTAGATCTCCTTTCAATCTACATAAGGTACAAACTAATTGGTTTTATCTCTCCAATGTTTTTGGTTTCTTTGGTTTTATTGGTTTGCATAACATCTTTGATTTGAGGAAATTAAGAGCTTCTTGGTTTTGTTTATTCATAAATGGATGATTGATTACCCAGAAGACAGTGACAAATGAAAAGGAATATTAGCTAGTTGTGTGTGTATGTGATGGGGGGGGGGGAGACGTGAACAATAGGTGAAGAGGCGAGGTGGATTTAATTTAACTTTTTAAATTAAGTAAAAGTGATCTGGTATGAAACTGGTAATGAGAGATTATAGGGACCAAATAAGCAAGTCACTAACAACTTTGCATACATAGTAGGTCTAATATGCTATTTTCCCAATTTGCAAACCAAATGGAAATCAAATTCCATTCCGTGGTGACAAATCACATAATAGACCTAAATTCCTTCAAATCCAATTTATTTAGATTCTAATTCTTATTCCTTCAAAAAAAGGAAAAAATTACGAACCAAACACCCCCTTAAATAACTACAAAAACCTTAGTTTGAATCTAATATGCATCCATATAGGATTAACTACAAGCAAATGCAAACAACTTTTACCATTTCAACAATATATATAACATACTTGGTGGAGCTGTTAGTAGAGATGCTAGTTTCATTAGCAGCTTAGCCATAAAGAGAGCCGGAAATGCTGTGAATTTGATGCGCCTTCTTCCACAATTGTCTGACCCCCAGAGTGAGCTCCTTCTGCTTCAGTCTTGTATGGGTATTGCTAAGCTTTTCTTTGGGCTGAGGACGTGCCCAACCCGTTCACATGGAAGAGGCGGCAATATTCTTTGACAATGGGTTGTGTGGGGCGATTGAGGACATTGTGGTTTGTGGTGACCCTTTCTTTGGAGACATACACTGGCGAATTGCCTCATTACCCATTAGGTTTGGTGGTTTGGGTTTATACTCGGCGGTAGAGGCTACCTCATATGCCTTTGTTGCCTCAATGGCCCAATCTTGGGTATTGCAAGACCACATCTTACGGGATAGCATCATATATGGTATGGATTCTGATTATGATTGTGCCTTGGCGTCTCTTCGTAACAAGCTTCCGGATTTTAACCTTATCAGTTTTACTACTAAAGACACTGCCCCCCCCTAAATCCCAGAATACACTGGCGAGTGCCCTTTTTCGTAAAATTGTCCAAGATATGGAAGAGCATCTCGACATGACGGCTCGGCAGAAAGCGGTTTTCCAGTGCTTACGTGCAGCACATGCTCAAGATTTTCTTCTAGCTATCCCTATAGATGGGCTTGGCCAACATATGTCTCCTGTGGAGTATCGTACTATCCTCAAATATCGACTCGTGATTCCAATATTCCCAGCTGACGAGATATGCCTGGTGTGTCGCAAGACATGTTTGGACTCTTTTGGAGAGCATGCAGTTCACTGTAAAGAACTCTCGGGGTTCAAATACAGGCACAATATGGTTAAGGATGTTTTGTTTGACATATTTAAGCGTGCTGGGGTTTCCGCTAGGAAAGAGACACCTGTGAATTTCTTGACTGACCTGACAGAAGGAAGGTCAACCCTCAGATCGGCTGACATTTTGATTTTTGGATGGGTCGGAGGGAAACACGCATGTGTGGACCTTATAGGGGTATCCCCTCTCGTGGGCTTGAGGGTTGGGGGTTTCACGGCGGGACATGCGGCTTTAAAAGCTGCTACAAGCAAAGTCACCAAACATGAGAAATCATGAATGGAAAATCAACACATGTTCATACCATTTGCATTTGATACATTTGGTTTCTTCACGCCGGATGCGGTAGAGCTTCTTAATAGAGTACAATGGATCATGCATAACAATGTTATATCCCTAGATCTATTGATGTAGTCTTTAAAAGAATTAATTTTGCCATACAAAAAGGCTTAGCGGCGCAGCTTGTTGCGCGTCTGCCATCTCACTCGTTGTACGATGATATTTAAACGTAATATAAAATGAAAAAAAGGAAAAAAAAAAGTTTAATATAACAACTCATCATTTCTCTTTTCATGTTATATGCAACAGTAACAATTTGTATAACAAACTTCATATTTTCTTATCAATAAATGTAACAATTTTAATCTTTTTAAAAAAATTAACCAATTCATCATAATTTATGCAAAATGTTATAAAAGATCCCTCACTTAATTTATCATAGGTTATCATAAATATTAAATTTGTAACAATCTTAAATATAATTACATTTAGGTGGGTAAAATAAAACTACTTTTAGATAAAAAGGTTAACTGTAATGAACATTTCATTTAGAAAATATAACAAATAATAAATAATTGCAAAACACCAACTGTTTGTTTCTTTTTAAGAAATCATTTCTACAACCATTTCTGGTTGCATTGTGCAAAATAAGCGTAACATTTGACCTTTTGTAATTATTTTTTAAAACAAATAGCTTTCTAATTGCAAGACGTTTATGGTTAATTTTAGGTTTGGAAAAAAACAAACAACAGCTTATCTCTTACTAACAAACATCATTTGAATCTACCTACCTAATAAAAGACTCTTAATTTTGCCACTTGGCAATTTCTAGAACCCATTCTGCCACGTGTCACTATTTTAGTTCCCTGCTAATTGTTTTTCCCGCCCATGCCTATCAAACCAAATTAATCACGAAGAAACTGATCTTAAATCCCTTAAAATCAATCTTATTTAGGTTATTGTTCATTCTCACATCCATAAATATCGCTGGTTTGTTGCTTGACGATCCGTAAGTCTCGCCAATCCCATGTCTTTCTTCGCTATTCTTAAACCATAATACTCTTTTTCCTATCTATCAATAGCTGTGTTGAAATAAGATTTATCTCCTCATCTCTAATTTTCTCTCTAAAACCATAGCTTCGCAAAACCTTTGATTGTATGCTTCTCCTACTTGGAGCATAACAATGGCGCACGGTTTTCATAAAAAGACAATAGTTGAGTTGGTTCTCTTCTTCTGTAAGTATTCTGTTTTTTTCCTTCAATTCCTCCCCCCCTGCTATTTTTCTCCATCTTGGTTTGGTACTTTTTATAGACACCTGATGCTTCTCTTGAAATTGTTCTATGGCTATTTCAAGAAAACGATAAATAAATCCTAATTTTTTTAGTTCTATGGTTTTGCTGTCACCTACAAATTTAGGTCAAAACATCCTGAAAATTGCTTACAATTAATCAATAAAACGAAAAAAAAATCCCTAAGTTCTTTAGCTTGCTTCCTTTTGAGAAATTGTTTAGAGAGAAAGAGAGGGAGAGAAAAAAGAACGACCTTTTTGTTAAGAAAGGAGCGGGCCCAAATTTTATGTTAAATGGAAGATGTCGTATAAGGGGAAAAGTATGGCTTTTTTCTTTTTCTTTGATACAACTTACATTTCTTTATAATGGTGCTATTTATGTATTGTAACAGATAAGGGAATGGATGGAATTGAATTCCCTTTTGTCTTTGTAGAAATTTTCAATTCCATGAATGATGCGATTCGAAGGAACCCAGTGGAATTAAATTCCTCATCTATCATGATTGAAATATGGTCAACTAAGTGTTGGATTTCAAAATGTTAGCTTTTATTTTGTTTCAAAACTTGATAATTTAACTTCAAAGTGAGGATGTAAGAATGTTAAAAAGATTTGCTAATATTGCAGGTTCAATCTTGTGCATCACCTTCATTTACAACCTTTTGCTAATATTGCAAGTTCAAGGAGAGCTTCATACTATGTTGCTTCTGCAGCCAAGCTGATTCTTCAATTTTGTTAATTTCAATTTGTGTATGTGTTTGTGCAGCCATTTGAAAAGTTCTTTATTCTATTCTTTCTTATGTTAACAACTTAATCTAAAGATTGGTAAAAATTTAACAGGGTTGCATCTTAGTTGTGTTGCAACTGGAGAATAAAAGATTGATAATTATTGACATGTTTTTTAGCTGGAGTGTCCGTGTCCAGGTCAGAATATCACTTAAATATTCTCTTTTCTTTAATCTTAATCTTTTAAAGACAGTTCTGAATTTGGGTTAAGCTTTACATATTATGAAAATATGGGTTGATGTGTCAAATATTTTTAAAATACTTCACATGTAACATTTTTCACAAGTTAGTTTATTATTCGAAAGATCAGATGATGATGAGGCTGAAGTTGGATTAATTGTTCTGTAAGGGAATGTTCATAAAGAATGTAATATGCCTTACATACACAAGCATAATGTTCTGGGTAAGTTTGCAAAAGGATTGTAGATTATAAAGATAATAACTCAAGTTAGAAAGGAAAATGATTAACATCTTCTTTTGGTTTCCACTTGGATCTAATATAAGAGTTGGAATTAATCAGGTGCCAAGAAAATTAGCAAAAGGTTGTTGAAAATTCAACATCTACTTTTTGTTGTTCTTATCTACATATTAGATTATTTCTTTGTGAAAAAAAAATCTTAATTTGTGTTCATGATGTAACATCCGGAGTCCCAGGTATCCTATTTTAAGTATTTTATATTGAGTTTTAGAGGGGGGACTCGGCGAGTAGGCGCCCAGACTCGCCGAGTTGGATCGCGATGTGTTGGCCTGATTTAATGAAGGACTCGGCGAGTCCATTCGTGGACTCGGCGAGTCCACGCTGTTTAATGAAAACCTAATTCCTCGGGTTTGGGACCTATTTAAGGACCCTTATAGCCACCATTTGCGGCTACCAGACCCTTGA